ACCAAACCGGTATCATGCCTTGAACACCGAGAGCTGATGACCATACCGAAAAGCGCAATTCAGAAGTGCTTCGAGAAGAATAATTAAGTACTTTTCAAAAAAATTCAAAATTCTTTCTTTGAACACACCTCGTATATCTATCTCTATTAGTTTTAAGTGGTACAAACAACCGTTAGGTGAACAAAACTATTATACTCTCTAGCAAAATGTTGCAAGAATGGTGTTTTATTGTGAGAACAAAAGCAAAAAGTTTTCATTTCAGATTTCAATTTGTACTACAAAAAATTTGTAAAAAGGGATTAGGAGACACCTTACTAATGCCCTTCGTGCCTATATCAGTCTTTATATCGAAAATATGAATGCTGTTTTCTTGTGAGAACAAAAGCAAAAAGTTTTTATTTCCGATTTACATTTCTACTACAAAAAATTTGTAAAAAGGGATTAGGAGATACCTTACTAATGGCCTCCGTATCTATATCCGTCTTGATATCGAAAATATCGGCCAATTTTCCATTGAGCAAGCACTAAACACGCCATTGACTGAACATATTTTTCTGACAATAGTGTTTTCTGTTGTACTTGATATATACACATATTCTCTCAAAAAACGGTTTTTTGAAGTCAGGAATTTTTTTATAAATCAAATATCATGGATTCATTTATATAAGTCTGAAGATAATTTAATGCATTTAAAATCTAAGTGAAAAATGTGCATATTTGTTGGCACTACAGCTGTTGAGCTGATACAATTTTTTTCTTACACGCTTTGTGGAGAACATTATAAGAAAGAGATGAATCATCTACGAAATTAACATTTTCAAACAAATAGTGATGATTTTACTGAAAAGTTCGATTTTTAAATGTCTCTAAATTCAGTTTTATCACCCCCAAAAAAAACTTACTTGAAAATTCCTTCGTTCAAGTATGAAATATTGCAGTTTTTAACTAGCCTGTAAAGAATTAGATTGATGGTCCTTTGGAAAAACTTTTTGAAAAACATCATTTCGAAATAATCGAGTTTAAAGTGTTGCCACATACTTGGGGGCGGTAACTTTGGCTCCAGTATCTTATTTTCGTTTGTTAAAAAAAGGACTTTGATATACTAAATTTTAAGGCATAATCAGTCTGACAAAAAATGTAATTTGGCAGCGCAGAAAAAGTCTGCGTACAAGTAAGTAAAAAGGGACTCCCTTACGCAATAACCAAATGTAAAAATGTCGGAAAGTTATACTTTTACTTGTTTTCGAAAAAGTTGCAATTTTAAAAGATTTTTGTTCTATTCAACTTGTTATTAAATTTAGAATTCCTCTGAAAGGGAAATAATGGTTAAACTTTTCGAAGAAGGAAAAAACACTCTGAAATCGGTCGAATTGTTGGAAGAACACATTCTCTCATACAAAGAGTAATAAAAACAAGTAAGGAAGGGCTAAGTTCAGATGTAACCGAACATTTTATACTCTCACATAGTTAAATGGTATACTCGTTTGAGATTTCTTTGTGGATTGACTGATATTTAGTACTTAGGGGCTTGAACAGTTTTGGTTCAATTTAGACAATTTTTGGTCACAAGGTGGCATACTTTAAACGTATTATTCACGCAAAGTTTTACCCCGATATAATCATTGTTGCTTGATAGGCATAGTGAAAAGTGAAAGAATCAGATGGAATTGAAAATGGTGTTATATGGGAAATAGGCGTGGTTGTAGTCCGATTTCGCCCATTTTCGCACTATAACATAGAAATATGAAAAGAACGTTATGCACCGAATTTGGTTGAAATCGGTTAAGTAGATCCCAAGATATGGGTTTTCACCTAAAAGTGGGCTGTGCCACACCCACTGTTTAATTTTGAACGCGGTTCCTATAAAGTCATCTCATACCATCCCAGAGATAAAATTTAATGTCTCTGGCGTGTTTAGTGCTTGATTTATCGCGCTTTTAGTAGTTTTTAACAGTACCGTTATATGGGGAGTGGGCGGAGTTCCCACCCGATTTCAACTATTTTCACACCGTCAATAGAAGTGCTAAAAACATTTGCTTCCAGTGAATTTTGTTATTATAGCATTAGCGGTTTAGGAGATTAGCACATTAAACCTATTAGGGGCGGCACCACGCCCACTTTAAATAAAAATTTACTGCAAATGCCCCTCCCTATTGTGATCGTATATACCAAATAACAGTCTTGTATCTTATTGCGGAGCTTAGTTAGTTAGGGATTTTTTTTTGTTTTTGATTAATGCCGTTTTGTGGGCGTGGCAGTGGTCCGATTATGCCCATCTGCAATATCAACCGTCTTACGGTACCAAGAAACATGTGTACCAAGTTTCATGAAGATATCTCAATTTTTACTCAAGTTACAGCTTGCACGGACGGACGGACAGACAGTCACCCGGATTTCAACTCGTCTCTTCATCCTGATCATTTATACATACATATATACCCCTATATCTAACTCGATTAGTTTTAGGTGATACAAACAACCGCTAGGTGAATAAAACTATTATACTCCGTAGCAAGTTGCGAGTATAAAAATCAGCGCTTCCAATGCGGCAAAAAATACTAGCACAGCATGAAACTCGTAAACTTTTGCAAAATGTCGAACAACACCTTCGATTTACTGCATCCCAAATCGACCAAATTTTAAAAAGAAATCCCTCTGCACTGACACCATTCCCAAATTAAAAAACCGGTTTTTATGATCAAGTTGCACACAAGAACTCATTTATATCGCTAGTCATTAGGTAAGTGCATACTGTTGTCGTGAAAGAGCACTTAAATAAGCCCGGGAGTTTTGGCAGAAAGTTACTTTTCCGATGAGAGCATGTTTTGCGTCTATGGAATCAAGATTTTATGGCAAAAAACGGGCACGGCACTCGATAAGGAAATCTTAATGCATACTGTGCAGAACGGTGGTGAAGAAGCAATGATATGGGGGTGCATAGCTAGTAACTGTGTGGGCCAAATGGAATTTATAGAATCATGGTTAAATATGCAAACCTTAATATCATAAAAATAAATTTGAAGCCAAGAGCGGTAGAATTTGGTCTTCGAAGAGACTGCTATTTTCGACATGATAACGATCCGAAGCATACAGCAGACATAGTTAAGCTGTAGTTACTATAGCATAGCAACTTCAAACACCACCAGAATCACCAGATTTTAATCCTAAATAGCGCCTATGAGATTCACTGGTACGTAAAATTCGCCAACGCACAATTACCTAAAAAGATATGCTCAAGTTGTGCTGCGCGATAAATGTGCTCACATCCCTTCGACAGAAACCTCTAAGTTTGTATATTCCATAAGTTGGTTTTTATAAAAAGTATATACAGTTTTTTTCCAACAATTTATTTTTGTTGGTACCTTGTACGCAGACTTTTTCTGACCAGTGTACTTTCTTTGAGAAAACGCAATTCAAAAAATTCAAAAAATAAACTCGGTTCAGTAGTTTCCCTAGGCCCCATATTCCCAATATTATAAATTTCTATTTGACTTTGTACCGAATAATCTGTATAAAGCGGGGGTTATCTGTAAAAATTGGATGTAATAATCCAATGGTTGACTCTATGTTGTATATATCAGTCAATATATTACTTTAGTTATTTTAATAAAACTAAATGGCTATTTTTTCTTGACCATAATAGGGCTCAGCGTCAAATATTGGTTCAAATACTTAATTACTGATTTTCTCTATACAAAATATATTGATTAATATACATATGTTATATTTCAATAAAATTATATGTGAACGTTTCTCTTAGACATTTTGTACTTTTGTGTTAAAAATTAACCTCCATTTGCCCAATATATTGATTTCCATTCTTTTGGTTGACGTAGATATGATAATAATAATATTACAAACAAATAATGATTGTTTTTTGTGGAAAATGGATTTTTCTATTCGTTCCTTCTCCTATCCCTGGTTTACACCATATTATAAATGTCATGCCCTTAGATAAACTTTATTGCCCTCATTTGAGCGATTGCAAGATATTTCAATAAATTTCGCGAGAACATTTCAATTAACACCATGCATAATTGTACCCGCATGAATATGATATATATAGTAATTTCTTTTGTTATGTTGGTTTTAATATAGACATATATTACATTTACATTAAAAACAAGTAAAGAAGTTTTAAGTTCGCGTGTAACCGAACATTTTATACTCTCGCAACTTGCAAGGATCAAAGCCAGCGAAATTACTTCAGGTATTGGCATAATTTTATATCAAAGGAAGTATTGATTCGATTCAACCCATTTTTGACACAAAGATATATACTATTATCAAGAGTTTCATTTATTTATTTTATTATATGAATTTAAATTATATATTTTACACATTGACCGATATTTTCGGTAGAAAGTAAACTATAGGCACTTAAACGCATTATTCACGCAAAGTTTTACCCCGATAAAAACATTGTTGATTGATTTGCATGGAGGAAAATGAAAAAATCAGGTGGAATTTAAATGGTGTTATATGGGAAAAAGGCGTGGTTGTAATCCGATCCGATTTCGCCCATTTTCGCACTATAACTTACAAATATAAGAGGAATATTATGTACCGAATTTGGTTGAAACCGGTTAAGTAGATCCCAAGATATGGGTTTTCACCTGATAGTGGGCGGTGCCACTCCCACTGTCTATTTTTGAACGCGGTTATCTTATTGTGGAGCTTATTTATAGTTCAATTACGACCATCTGAAATATCAACCGTCTTACGGTACCAAGAAACATACCATATATACCAAGTATATACCAAGTTACATAAAGATATCTCAATTTTTACTCAAGTTAGACAGACAGTCACCCGGATTTCAACTCGTCTCTTCATCCTGATCATTTATGTATATTTAAAACTATATCTAACTCGATTAGTTTTAGGTGATACAAACAACCGTTAGGTGATATTACACTTTGTAGTAACAGATTGCGAGAGTATAAAAATAATAAAATGAAAGGATTAAAAATAGTGTAAATTGTTTTGTAAGTACATACTTTTATAGTTTTGTCTCGAGATCCTGATGCCAAAAATGGTCCTTGATGGTGGCCTTTTCTATTATCAACGCCAGTACCTTCATTTATAGCAGTTGTGGATAAATCCGGTGCCCAAGCTATACATTCAACTGTGTGATCGTGATCTCGAAGTTCGGCCTATTCACAAAAAACAAAAACAATAAATTGCAAATATTCTATCCTAAAAAACGAAACTAAACGGATTATAGTATACATATTATGATACATAACTATTTTCGTCGAAATTCCCTTAATGTTGCCAAGCTAAAAAATTAGGATTTGACAGATAATTTTACAGCTGAACATTTGTAAACGAAAATTCCAATCAATTCAATATAGTTATTGCTCACAAAGAGGGGAATGATTATTAAAGTGAATAATTATTAAAATGGAAATTAGTGTTGATTTATATTACGGTAACAAAAATGGTGAAATCAAATTAATTTTCTGTACACACAAAGGCTTAGTGATCACTCAAGTCCATTAGAACTTCCTAACACCAAATAAGCCAAAGTTTTTATTGACAATTGACTTTTAAATATATCAAACAATTTTAATTTAAATAAGGAAGCACTTTTTTTACTAATGAGATGAAGGAACATTATGGCAAACTCTTCGTTTCCTAGCTGACGCTAGTTATCAAAAAAGCAGTTTAAATGATTTTAACTTTAAGCTGGCGTAGCCGATATGTATGGTTGTTAAAATATCTTAAATATTATGAACATCGTATTTGTGCTCAGTTGATTAAATACAAAGTACTGAAAAAGAGCAAAACGCTTCAAAAATATAATTTTACTCAAAAAGTATATTCCTAGGAATAATAGATTTTCTTGTATTTTTACAAAATAATTGATTAAATAGTTGCAAGTTATATATATAGTAGTTTATTTACCCGTTTTCAATTATTTTTTTTATTATATAATATATAAACGCAATATTATAACCGTTTGGCAACCTTCAACCGAAACTTTTCTTTTGACGGATTAAGTTATTATCGATAATAATTTCAAAGCTTCAAACAAAATTCATATTTTTCAGACTGTGCTTATTCAATTTAAGTTGCTGTTATAAATTTGTGTCCACAATTGTGTTTATATCATTTAGATATGTATATGGTGATGATATATATATGTATGTATGTGCTAAATTTTATATCTAATACGTTTCTACTCTCGATGAAAATGTTACTTTCTTATATAGCAAGATTATAAATACTTCATTATACCTTGAAAACATTTTCCATATTTTACATGATAAAAGAACAAAAAAAATCTGCCAATCAACTCAATTGACCAACGCAATTTCCATTATTGAGCTTACCACACTTGACCAATTCAATACAATTATAAGAAAAACTTCATAAAAAAAAAAAGAAAAATTATCAAAAACGATAAATAGATGTCTTACATTCTGAGAAGGTTAAACATTTTTTTTTCTGGTTAGAATGCAACATTCTGAGAAAAGAACAAACGAACACAAACGACTACAGACGGACCAAGGGATTTACAAACATCGAGCGACCTCAGTACCAGAAGGGAAAAGGACGAACAGAAAACGTCGAACACCATCCAATGGGAAGCTGGACTCGATTAATGTAAGAAATATTATAAACGTTTACTATTTACAAAAATTTAACTATTATTAGACAAAAGAAATTGAAAGATTATTGAAATTAGGAAGATACACGTAAACACTTGACCATATAGAAGTGACTGTTGAAACCGAACTAATCTGCAAAAATCCCAACTACCCCTTCATATAATATTTCACTTAGAAACACAAATTACACACTAAATAATTTAAAAGTAGAAAAGAAAATACAAAGATCAATAAATTTTTTATTAGCACATTGAAATGGATTGCTGGAAGTCCAGACCATGAAGACCACGATATAATTTCAAGTAAAATAAATAATATCTTGCAAAATAATAATAATCAGGTGCTAATTAATAAACTCACAATAGACAAAATTATTGAAACAACAAATATTACAAATAATATTATTAAAAATATACAAAATGAGAAATACAAGTATATAGAAATAGATTCATTCTCACAGTGAAAATACAAGTTGGAAATAATTAAAGAAGTTTTAAATATCGCATACGCAATACATTGGACAAAAGCCAATATAATAAATCCATTTATCTTGTCAAATGAAGAATTAGATATGGCAAGATAAAGAATAGACAAAAATGATATTCCATACATAAATTAAAATGAAGCTCTCGAATTTTCTGAAATAAAAATTAAGACTAATGGCAAAATTATAATTTATATTGTAAGCCTTCCAACTGTGGATTACTAAATTAGTATAAAAAAATAGACATTAGAGCTGTAACAAATAATGGAAGAATTAATAAAATAAATTTTAATACAATTCTAAATTGCGAAAAGACAAATTATAGAATAAAATATTATTGTAAAAAATATAACTAATTGCAAATATGTTAAAGCAATAATATAGTAGATTTACAATAAGTAATGATTCATGTATCAATAATCTTCTAAAAAGTCGTTTGACAAACTGCACGAAGGTCTACAATCAACATATTCCAACCCTAGAGGAAATGGGACCAGGAATACTATTTCTAAACAAATTCAATGGCAACATTAAACGGCACATTTGTAATTATGTACACCAATACAACTATTCAAATCAACGGAAAAACATTCTACAACGAGGAAAGAACATTAAGTAAACCGTTACCAGCAATTTTACAACATTCACCCGCTCGAAGAAATCCTCTCGCTGGAGATGCTGAAGCAGCTTAATTTCAATAATACAAAAGAAGTAAGCTCAATAGAAACAGAAAGCAGGATAAAGCACGCAACCAGCATCTCCTTACTTACAATCCTAATAGCGATGGCCATAATGTTTGAAAATACCTTATAAATGACCTCACAAAACATCAATCCATCGAATTATCGCAACCGGCAATCGATGGACTCAACCAAACCAAACGCACGCCACACATTCAAAAAGTATCATATGATGCATTAATGTCATATGATACAAAATAATGCAATATAACTAAAGCCAAATCGCTGAAGTTGCGACACATGCAGTACGAAACCCAAAATATCGGTTACTATGTGAGATACATTAATGAAATTCAAAGACTGTCGTTTCCTGATAATATGGTACACGTCAAATCGAGTCGAAGCTTCCGGTAGTCCTCATATACCTAACACCAGAAGTTTAAAAATTCCAGTTATCTTTTAACCATATATATGAGATATCTTAATGAAATTGAGAAAACATCTTTTTCTGGTAATAATGTGTCCTGATTCCAAAAATGGATTAAATGGGGTCAATATTTTCCTTGCCCCATATACCTGACAAAGTCATTTCCGTTTTTAAACCGTTTTTATGTCAATATTTAAACAGTTTAACACGGTTAAGCGCTTAATAAGAATGAATTTGGTCTAGATCTTAGTCTAAAATCTATACCCCTAAGTATCCAAACTACTATAAGTATCAACACTATTTCTTAAAAGAAGATTAAAACAAACAGTAAATTAATTTTTGGTCTATTCCGTACGTACTACGAATAAGAAAAGAGACAATAATAAAACCAAGCTAGCTGTCCAGTGAACAGGGAATTCAAATAAAACCTTTGTTTTTAATATTAATAAATGTTTTCTTAGTCCATATTATTAAATTTAACTGCCACCTTTGCCCCTTTTTGTGATTCTACCATAAAATTTTAAAGGAAAAGCAGAGAAGTCATCCTCAGCAAATAAGAGTTTTAAAATCTGTTGCTGAAGTTAAAATACAAAAATCATTGGACCACACTGCGTCGGTGATTTTAGAGTTGCAATACGATATGATTATTTAATCATATTTTGTCTTTCTTCGAATTCAATTTAAAAGGAATCAGTTCATATAACCCAAAATGAAGAATTATATTTTAAAAACAGAAATTGACTCCCATTGACTCATTTGCTAAGTGTTACATTTGCTAAGCCAAACGTACTGAGATAAGGTATTGACAAATGCTAGCAAAAAGAAGTTCGAAGAGATCGCTACGAATTTGAATTGTCCTTATTACATGCATATATTAAATTTTTTGAATATTTTCTTTACGTTTCTTATAGACTTCAAATCACAGTCAATGGTAAATAAGGGGCTTCGAAGATAAAGAACGATTTCTAGGAAGACAAGACATAGCCCCCATAATTATTCAGGTCAACTAAAAACACTTAGTAGATCTTATTATTTATAATTATTAACTTGACTTGATATTGACACCTGATATTTTGTTAAAAACATTTTTTTTATTGAAAAGCTTATATTTTGTGGAAAAGTCATTATTTAAGCATTGATTCAACTAACTTCTCACATATGTTTTTGGAAATTGCTTCCCACTCCATCTTTACCGTTTCGAATAGTTCGGTGAAATTTCCGACTTTGTGCAATCGAACCTTCGTTTTCAATTGCCCCCAGAGATTCTTTCAATGGGGTTCAGGTCTGTACTGCATGAAGGCCAGAAATTAGTGTTTAGTTAAGCATGCGGTATGATTGAGGTCGTTATGGCGCTGAAACAGTTAAGTAACAGGCATATATTGGTGCTGATCCATATGACCTTCTATTTTTGTTATAAGCTCAACACTCCTCCAAGACATAGCCCCCATACCATTATATTACCGCCGCCGTGCTTCAGGATGGGACGAGTGTATTTGGGGTCAAGCCCTTTACATCGCGGACGCCGAACTTAAGTTTTTCCATCTAGTGACAGTCTATTTACTTTCGTTTCATTCGAAAATAGGACAATTTTTCATTCTTTTGGAGTCTAATGACATTCCTAGGCGAATTCACGTCGTTTTTCACGATTCAACTCTGACAGCAGAGGCTTCTTCCGAGAAACTCTCCCAAAGGGCCTTTTTCTCTTAAACGTCTTTTGACAGTTTCAACCGATGGTGCACTATCATTTTCGCCAAAAATATGCACGCGAATTTTATTTGTTGTTTTTTGAGTATATTTTTTTGATTCGCTTACGATTCGCCCGTCATCTCCAGCGGTGATACTTTTGTGTGTTTTAAGATACTGAACAGCGTAGAGAACCATTCTATAATAAGGTTCATTAGAATAACGGAAATTATTACAATAAAATTTCACACAGGCTAACCAAACA